AAATAGACTGTCTGGGCATTAAAAAAATTGAAAATCTCTACACTCCGGAGGAACAAAGGGCTTTAGACATTTTGCAAGAGACAACTAAACGAGTGAGTCCATCTAAGTGGGAATCAGGTTTACTCTGGAGAAACGACGATAAAAATATTCCTAAAAGCAAATATACAGCTATTGCAAGACTTAAATATATCGAGAAGAAGATGGCAAAAGATAATCAATTTTGTACCGACTACAGTAAGAAAATTTCGGAATATGTAACAAAAAATTATGCAAAGAAACTAACCAAAGAAGAAATTCCAGTCCAGAACTTGAGAGTTTGGTACCTGCCACATTTTGTAGTAACTAGAGCCGATAAACCAGGTCATCTCTCGTATTCGATGCTGCTGCAAAAACTGAGGGTATTAGTCTAAATGATTTGCTTTTAAAAGGCCCAGACCTTTTGAACTCTCTCCTGGGTATCGTTTTTAGATTTCGTCAAAGAAACATAGCTTTTACTGCCGACATTAAAGAGATGTTCCACCAGGTTAACATCAGACCTGAAGACAGACACGCTCAACGATTTCTTTGGAGAAATGGAGAGGGTTCCAGAGATCCTGACGAATATGAAATGATAGCCATGACCTTTGGGGCTACCTCATCACCAGTAACTGCTCAGTTTGTTATGAGGAAAAATGCAGAAGATTTCAAAGACATTTTTCCAAACGCCGAAAAAGCCATTCGTGAGAACCATTACGTAGACGATTATTTAGACAGTATGGACACCATAAACGATGCTGTAAAACAAATTTCGTCAGTCATAGAAGTTCATCAAAGAGGTGGTTTCGTCATACGCAACTGGGCGAGTAACTGTAAAGAAATTTCAAAAAATATTCCAGATACCCACAGAAACGACAATATAAAAAATCTTAATTTTGACAAAGGAATTACTCTGCCCACTGAACGAGTCTTAGGTCTATCATGGAATCCGAATGACGACAAATTTTCTCTTCCTTTCAAATGGACTGACGAAGATATTAAAGATTTAATTGAACAAACTCACGTCACGAAAAGACAAGTTCTAAAGACCGTAATGACAATATTCGACCCTCTTGGATTTCTCTGTAATTTTACTATAAAAGGAAGAATTTTAATCCAACACATTTGGAAATCAAAGATCGGATGGGATGATGAAATCGACAAGAAATCGACAGACAAGTGGAAGAGATGGATGATAGAACTACAGAAAATTAAAAACATACAAATAAATCGATGTTATGTGACAGATATTTACAAAGCTCAACAAATTCAGCTACACGTATTTTGTGATGCCAGCGCTCAAGCATACGCTGCCGTAGCTTACTTTCGAATAAAATTTCCCACTCACATCTCAACCTCTTTCGTCATAGCCAAATCAAGAGTAGCCCCTCTGAAACCAATGTCTATTCCGAGACTAGAACTACAGGCCGCCGTCTTAGGAAACAGACTTGTTTCTACCATCCTTGAAAATCACGACATCCCGATCACATGTGTATATCTTTGGAGCGATTCCCAAACCGTCATCAGTTGGATCAAATCAAATCCTGCTCTATACAAACCTTTCGTGGCACACAGACTTGCAGAAATTCAGGAAAATACTGACGCAAAACATTGGAATTGGATCCCAACCAATGAAAATGTTTCAGACGAAGCAACCAGGGAAGATTACAGTAGAGACTGGGCTTTAAGTACAAGGTGGCGCGATGGACCTGAATTTCTAAAATATAAAAAATCTGATTGGCCTATAAAAGACAACTTAATGACTGACACTACAGAAATGAAAAAGACCTTTATAGGCGTAACCGTAGAAACGACTCAGTTGAAATCATCTCTACCTGACGTGACAAGATTCTCATCGTGGCTAAAATTAATTCGTACAACAGCTTGGATTATAAGGATTATTGAGACATTAATGAAAAAACTTAATAAAAGGGGAGAACTGACCTGTAGTGAGCTCGACAATGCCGAAAAATTGTGGATAAAAAGTGTTCAAAAAGATAGTTTCGCAGATGAAATCAAAGATCTTCAAATAAAAAAAACAATTTCTTCATCCAGCAGAATTCTTAAACTTTCACCTTTTTTAGATAAAGACAATATTCTAAGACTAAAAAGTAGACTTTTAAATGCAGACTTCCTAGATGATGATACAAAATTTCCAGTAATACTCGACCCTAAACACATCTACACAAAATTACTGATTACACACTACCACAAAAAGGCAAGACATCATGGCCAAGAAATGGTTTTAAACGAACTTCGTCAGCGCTATTGGATCCTAAATGCTAGGCAAGCCGTTAGAAGTTGCTGGAACGACTGCCAATGGTGCAAAAATCGCCGATCAAAAGAAACATTGCCGGAAATGGCTCCTCTTCCTCGATGTCGACTAACACCTTTTGTCAGACCGTTTACCATTACTGGGATGGACTATTTCGGGCCCATGGAAGTGAGTATAGGACGCCGGAAAGAAAAAAGATACGGAGTTTTATTTACGTGCATGAGCACAAGGGCTGTCCATCTAGAAATAGCCCATTCACTTACTACGGACTCAGCTATAATGGCCATTCGTAGGCTAGCTGGTAGAAGAGGAAATCCAAAGAAACTATTTTCGGACAATGGGACCAATCTAAGAGGAGCAGAAAAAGAACTAAGAAATGCGTTAAATGATTTCGACCAATACAAAATTATTAGCACTTTGTCTGCTGCACAAATAGAATGGTTCTTTTTACCTCCCCTTGCAAGCCATATGGCGGGAAGTTGGGAACGACTGATCCGATCCGTCAAAACTTCCATAAAAGCCATCTTAAAGGAAAAGTCTCCACGAGAAGAAGTCCTTCAAACGATATTCGTGGAAGCTGAATATACGGTAAACTGTAGACCTTTGACCCATGTTTCATTAGACTACGCTGACCAAGAAGCTTTGACACCGAATCACTTCCTACTAGGCTCACCAAATGGGGCGCAAATACCAGGAATTTTTGACCAGAACGACCTACTGTCCAGAAAACACTGGCGTCAATCCCAAGTACTTGCCGACCACTTTTGGAAGCGATGGATAAAAGAATATTTACCAGTCCTTACAAAACGTACGAAATGGTTTGTGTCGCATCCCCGTAAAATCAAGGTTGGGGATATCGTCGTTATCGTAGATCAAAATTTTGGAAGAAATATTTGGCCCAAAGGTATGGTAGTGAAACTATATCCCGGAACCGATGGCGAAACACGTGTCGTAGACGTCAAAACACCTATTGGAACCTATAGAAGACCTCTAACGAAATTGCAGATCCTAGATGTTTCAGCAGGAACTTAAGTAATGACTAAAGTGCATTACTGAGGCGGAGTGTTGCTGCGTTATTATGTATACTTAAATACTTACTTTAAATACTTTATTTATTTTGTTTTACTATGGCGGAAGTCATAGGTGTTTTAAAAATGGTAACTAGAATAATACTCTTTGACATAAGTTTGAAATGTAATTAAATACGTCAATAAAAAAAAATAAAAACTACTTTGGGAGATATTTTTACGACTTTAAAATACAAACCTTCTGAAACTAATAAAGGCAGTTTCATCTATTTTCCCGCAAAAAATGAACTATTCAGTTTATCCTTGTCCTGAAAATTTATATATGTGATCAGCAAAAATTATCATTCGATGAATTTACAATTGGTTTGTTGTAGTTAAATTACCTAATCCTTATTTTTTATGGCCTGCACATTACTTGAATTTAACGGTATAGACAGTTTACAGTAATTCCCGACATATTTTATGATAAAAACGTCAAGTATAAAGATTTTAAAACTACTCGCTTTTCAACCACACACTTTTGAAAACGGTTCGTTTTTTTAGCCATTGTCGAGGATAAAATAAGTTTGTTTACAATCATTTAGGCGTGGTTTTGCGCACTATTAATCAAGCCCTTGTAAGTCGCCCGGAGCGCCTCGGCAAATATTAATAATAAGCTAAATCATTCATTTTCACTAATGTGAAAATTCTTTATAAGGAAAACTCAGTCATTTACCACAGAATTTAATTGCTTAGGCGCGACTAGTTTTTTTGTGGATTATAAAGCAGAGGATGGAGGCGTTGCTTCAATTGTGAAATATTTTTATTGGCTATGAAGGGACGCTAATATATTTCAAGGGGTCTATTTTCACATTGATAATATTAAATAAATAACAAATTTTTGATGTTCTTACCTTAATGTTATGGCTAATAGTTCTGCGGGCTAAATAGCTTCTCGCTAATTTGTATCTGATTTTTGAATATAATTTGCTTTAAGATGTAAAAGTTCATCGAAACAATCTATTGTCATTCTAAAATAAATATAAAATATTTTCTCATCTTTTCCTAATTGTGGCATTAATGTATGGAATTATCCACATTGTCGTCTTTCTTTATTAATATCGTGCTCCCATCTCCTTTTTTTTCTGAGGTTACATAGATTATGATCAGCATACTTATTTTTAGATAATAATAATTTTACCTTAAATTATCTTCTTCCAGTACAAGCAACATAAGTGCTTTGTTTTCATCCAATAATACATAGGTACATTTTTGTGATATGTAAGTAAGAATTGTTTGTTTTTCTTTCCCAGCAATAGCATTCAACCTTTTTGATAACAAAAATATGACTTATATGATGCGATTACATTCGCTTTGGTGTGAGGTTCCCTGCGGATTTCGTCACGAATTTCGTTGCGAACTTTCAGTCACAAATCCGCTGCGAATAAATCGCGTTGGTTTGTGGGAGCTTTAATTCTACAGGAGCGGCGCAAGGTGCCGTAACTAGTCGCTGCGCCGCTTAAATAATAAAATTATGTAGTAAATGACTTTGAATTTTCTTTCCTTATAAATAATAATAATGGCCATCCATTCTTGCATAAGCTCTTTAGAGCTTCAGAGGTTCACTCGTAAGAATAATTTAAAGAATAATATTTCTTGTAATTTCTCATGACTTAGCCTGAAAAAAGTAGTTTTCCACTTACTTGAGTCTTTAAATCGGATGCTTGAATGGCGAACAGTGCTAGTTGAACCATACAACTAGCTGTTAGATTAAAAAGCCCAAGGGTTTTCGTAAAATCAGTGTGATCCTAAAAACAGTAACATTTCTTAACGTACCAGTCGCTTTTGTATAAATAGAAATAAAAAAAATGAAGAGAATTCAACTGCTCAGATTTTTTCATCTACAATAAGATCGAAATTAAATACTAAATCAATTACACATAACGATGACCTAATTCTAACACTTCGTAACCCACAAAGAGTAAATTTTACAGTAGAGGTAAAAAACTCTCTCCTGACTTATGTATCGTGCGGGTTGCATATTCGGAAATCGCTGATATATTAGATACTCGGATCAGTTCGGTATCGAGAATAACAGCCTCGTAAAATCTCGACGTGTTAGAATAATACGTCAGCGATTTACGAATATCTACTAGTTCTCTATGCATTGATATACAATTAGATATAATTAGGATAGGTATATTTAATACCGCACATAATAGGAAAATTTGATAATTCAAATTTAAAAAGGTCAATTGTACATCCAACAAAAGTACTAGTAAATACATTAGAAATTGTCGCATACATATTTTTAAAATTTTAAATTGCAGTTTGCGTTATCGCGGATTGCGCATGCACCATCCCTGTATTCACTAGAATAGTATAATTTTGAGGGCAAGGAAAATGTATGGACATTCACAAAAATATTCTATAATTGTAGAAATTGAACGTACCTAAGTACTGCTTCTTTGATTAAGTTTAAGTTTTTTTAACCCATTTACGGCCAAGGAGTGAAATAAAAGTAATAATATTTTTTTATTAAAAAACACTAAAGTAACACATATTTATGGTTTAAAGAATATTAATTAGAAAATTCGTAAAATAAATTATGTTGCGTTTACGCATTAATTGGCTAAAGCATTAAGTGATATTGCTGAAAACAGTTGTCGTGTAGATAAACTGTGCAACGTTCACAAATATAAATTGTTTGACTTTTACACACACGACATCTTCTACGAGAATCAGTTCTAATGAAAACATGCCCATATTGATCAACCCTCACTTCATTGGGTGGTTCTGATATAAGTACCCTTGGCACAAAGTTCTTCATTTTCAGGAGTCGGAGTGCAAAAAATGATTTGAAATTTAGTTGCGGCATCTTACTATCATTCACAGTGTTGTAGAGTTTTCAAGCATTTACAAGAGTACTATCGATTGCATTTATGAATAGTGGCTACCACCATTTTTTACCTAACACACGGGATATATAATTTGCCACACCATTATCCTGCAAAACTACCTCTCCCATGGATTTATTATATGCTGAAATTATAGCTGGTTGTGGAACTAACACCTCTTTTTTTAGTTTTCTATTATATCTTTTGACAGAATTTAGAGATTTTACATTATAATGGGTACTGATTGCTGTCACAATGGAATTATCGTTCCATCTTACCAAAGAAATATGAGTGGTTTCCTCAAACTGTAAATCGTAGGTGCCCCTCTTCTGTTTAGAGAGTTATTTACTTGATATCAATGGACAGTTACTTGTCATATTTTCTATTTTCGCAAATCATCCCTGTGGAATCCTTTGGCTTTTAAAAGAGATAACAGTTTGTACAATGCAAAAAATCTATTAAAGAAGATATTATGATTCTGAAAATTTTTCACAGTTGACAAAAGTTCAAAAACTATATTCGCGTCAAGTCCAAGATTAGTTTTCTTTTCTGCAGCTCCCGCGTAAGGAATAAACTGGTAAAGGTATCCACTCGAAGAACAAATGCACCAAATCTTGAATCCAAAACGGACAGGCTTACCTTTAATGAACATCTTGCAAGAATATCGCCCAAAATGGGAAACTATTTGCTCATCAATGGACAAATCAAATGAAAAAATTCCAAACTGTAAGAATTTCTGGTTGAGAGCATCAAAAAAGGGACGGAGTTTTGTAAATTTGTCAGTTACATCTAGTTTTTTATTAACACTCAGATGTATGTTTCGCTTTATTGATCTGAACTTATTCCTGTTCACACATCCTCTGACGATATTCATAATTTTATCCTCATCTAAAGACCAATACATATCTATCTGTGGTATCGTCCAAATCACGTATCACCTCCTCTAAGGCGAGCTCTAGCTGCCTTTCTGTCAGAAATTTCGGCAGTTTTAAAACAATAAAAACTCAAGCAGAGACACGCACTCAAACTCGATTAGATCAAGACTAAACAGTTGTACAGTTGTAGAGTACATCTACACAAAAACTATTTACGTACCGACAGTTGTTTACACTTATTCGACCGGTGATGCGAATATGCAACAACATAATTAATTCAAGATCAAATTTAGGGGAGAACAGGTTCATTTAGATCACGCATTTTTATAAATTTTGAAATATATTTAATAAAATGTGGGCATCAAAACTTTGCAACTGATAATATGTATACAATATTTTGATTTTTGAAAATTTCAGAACAATAAGTAACAAAATTCGGTTTTTTGGGCATTTCCCAAAAAAATACAAATGAAAAACTTTCTTAAAATAGGATCCTATCACGTTTGTCGGACCTTCTATCAATGATGCATGTGAACATTTCATGTTCAAAACGAATAAATTTTCCATAAAAAATAATTTGTGCAGTGTTGCGTATAGGCAATAGCGGCCGAAAATGGGTTAATTATTTCCTCCTAATTCCACATTATTTTTAACACACGTCGCCAACGAATGGGGTGCTTTGTAATTACCTGATGTGCGAAATTTGTTTTTGAATGCAGTTTCAGGGGTAAATAAAGAACATTGAAGAAAATGTATTGATCATGTTAAATAGGTGGAAAGTTCATTTTCGAAAAGGGATAAATCACTAGAAAACTTAATAGACTCTATAATATACGTCAGAAAAGAAAATGATAATGATACCAGTAGTTTTTAATTTTAGGTACTAGAGTTTTAATGCCAAGAGATTAAAAACAAGTTTAATCTCCATACCAACATAAAAACCTTCTTGTTATTTATTGGTTAAATTTAATTCGTTCAATGTTAAAGTGCAACAATTTTATCAGAAGCATAAGATTTATTTTAATTTTTGTAAATAATATAACTGTTCTGTTCCCGCGCATTTTAAGATTTATTTATATATTTTTTTTTATCTATTTTCATTTGGGCTCACAATATTAATTATTTATATTTATTAATTGCGTTTTTATATATAACCACTTTGCGTTTGGTAATATCAATATTTAATATATTTAATAATTTTCATTATGTTTATAATTAATTATTATAAAGGTTTGCTTTCTTCACCTATATATTTACCCATTCCTACATATTCCGATATTTAATCGCCTTCCTTCTGAACATTGAACCATTTTTTTTTTTGGTTTTTCGCCGTTTCTTCTAATTGTCAAAGCCGCAACTACAGAGAGAACGAAAACGAACAGCGTGCTCGAAACATCGAACCATCGAAACACCGTACTCGGAATTTTTGTTAATAATTCAAAGCCGGCAAACCCGTGAACGAAAGAAATTTATATTTTCTCGTGTTACGAATTGTGTTGCGCCTCGCATTGCGCGAGTTAAAGAAAACCTGCATCCCCGGATAAAGAAGATAATTGACCTTCCCTCCCATTCCAGTAAGTTAAGTAAACCTTTAATTTCTTTTTGTAGAACCTTGATTTCATTCTTGTTCAGCAGATATATGCAAATAATTTAATTAACACTAAAAAGTGGATCCTTTATGAACTCAACGTCCCTATTAAATACAGTCCGGAACTATTGGAAAAATAATTAGTTATTCCTGTAAAGTTTATTAAGGTGAAGATAACTTATAACTTCACCAAATAAGCTAGTTCCATTGCAATAACTTTTAATTTAAAATTTAATCTACGAAGTGCGTATATACCATTTTATATGCCGTGGGTTGCCACCTCATTTATATTAAGAAACTTATTTTGCAAAGTTAGAATGTGACGATATATGCCCATTTTTACTGCATTTTTTTTATTCAGACTATGGGCAATAGCAAAGGGAAAAAAAACTAAAATTGTCTCTGATGAGTGATGATTAATGTCCAGTAAACAAACATTTCTTATTTCTTGTTTTATAAATCGGCGACGTATTAGTTCTAACACTTCGGGATTTTACGAGTTTGTCATTCACGGCATCGAACTTTTCCGAGTTCCTAACGTGTCGGTGGTTTACGAATATGCGTCCGGGTTTGAACTTGGTAGAAATCGCGGAAATCAACTAGAAATAATTTTGTTTGGCACAAGAGGTTTTATTGACCAATAGTGTCCATCTTTTTCTGTTGAGTAAACGTAAAAACGCAAATTCGTAAAAATTGTCGGTAACGACTTGTTAGAATGTGTTAAACCGAATAAATTGAACGTGGCGCGCAGTGGTCGTACTCTCTTATCGAGGGTAGTCTGACTGCCTGGACACGTCTTTATTAATTTCTATGAAGTGATTCATTCCTGCCCGTACCATGTTGTCACGTCTTGCGTACAGGGTAATCTCGAGGTCCGCTAACACCATCGATATTTAAAAAAGTTACGGTGAACCGATTTTGGCTAATTAGCCATCTTTAAAGACTTAGGTCCTAAAGTATAAATTAAATATTATTACAAATAAATTGACAAATAACAATGAGTGATATAATTAATTAAGGAATTGATGGTAATCCAAGAAGGAGAAGTAGAAGTAAACGCTCCAAAGCTTTTGCATTTGCAGATGACACCGTACTCCTAGCAACATAAACATATGATGAAGAAGCTACTCAAAAGTTACAAAGTACTACTAAAAAATTTAATGAATGGACCAAAAAGTGAAGAATAAAACAATAAAAAAAATATATAAACTTGACAAATTAAATTAAATAAAACACAACGAAATATTATAAATTAATCTAGATGCAATGCTAAAATAAAGGGTATTTTTCAAAATATACAATATACCTAAAGTTAAAAAAACAAAATATACACGATTTTCTAAAGATACAAACCACGCTAATTATGTATCCATTGATTACCAAAACAGCGTAACTCATTATCAACTGTGGTACTAAAACTTGAGAAGTAAACAGTTCTATATTTTTCCCATATCTAGAAACAGTAAATATTTATTCAAAAATTCAATAAATCGATTTCAAAACCAAGAAGTTTATAAAATAAATAAATTGCTTTTTTATCATAAAATTCACTCAAAACTTATATTTATACTTACTTTAGTAGTTTTACATGATGTTCCACGCATATTTTCAACCTTCCATAAACCTTATTTTGAAAATAGTCAGAATTAAATTTTTCTAAATCTGAGCTTCCTTCCATGATTCCAGAGGTTACATTTTTAATTAACTCTTTTAACAAAATATATTGAACAAAAAGATGTTGAAGGCTATAAAAGTACACAACATCATAAAAAGCGTTACCCAAAATGGAGAGTAATAGATTCCAAAGCAGCACTGCGTATATGATTTCGTATAGAGGACTAGGGTTGGTATCAAAGGGTGTCCAAATGATGTTTGGCAGAGGTCTTTTTCCCGCAGGCATCTCCACTAAAATATAGGATTAACATATCATCAATTTTGTCCAAATGTGACATTTTGGGAAACTAATTTACAACAGACTTTTAAACATGTCAAGAAAGAGGTTAAAGGGATACTAGTTTCGGTAAATGAGGGTCATCATCAGACAAACTTTTTTTTTGGCGCAAATAATGGTTTATAAACGGCAATTCTTACTAAAATAATTATTTTGTTACAAGTGAAATCCAAGGTTGGTCAGAATGCTTAAGTGTGTGGCATTAGAAAAATTATTTCTATTAAAATTGGATCTAAGTAAATTGTTTAAAAGTTAAATTAAATTAAATTACACAATAGGATAATGGATTATTATTTCTTAACAATGCTTTATGGTCCCTATGCATAAGGTGTCCAAGTTCTTTCCTAAAAAAATACAAAAAATAAAAAGAAAACAAAAAAGAAACAAAAAATACAAAAACAAACAAAAAATTTAAAAGAAACAAAAAATAAACTAAAAATTCAAAAAATAAACAAAAAATACAAAAACAATCAAAAAATGTATTAAAACAGATATTAATATATTATTAACAAAATGTCAATAAAATATTAACATTTGTATATCTAAGGTGTCCAAGTTCTAAAAATAAAACAAAAAAAAAACAAAAAAATAAAAGAAACAAAAAAAACACTGAAAAAAATAATAAAGAAACCAAAAAACAAAAGAAAAACAAATAGAAACAAAACGAAAATATAAAAAAGCAGAAAAGCAAACAAATAACAAAAAAAAAGAAATATCTAAAAAAATAAATAAAAAATGTATTAAAATAATTATTAATATAATATTAACCAAATTGCAATAAAATATTTAAAAAAATGTGTATCTACATTAATATTATTAGGAAAATAATTGTAAATTAACTACTCCATGTGATTTTCTTGTTCTTATTTAAAAAAAATACACAATAAGCTAATGGATTATAATGCTTTTTGATCCCTACGCATATGGTGTTCTAGTTCTTTCCTAAGAGAAGCAAAACAACAAAAAACAAAAAAAAAACAGAAACAAATTAAAAACACAAAAAAACAAAAAACCAGATTACCAGTTACAATTGATTTCGACCTATTCGAACAATTTTAATGGTAACTGGTAATACCTTAAAATTGATAACAAATTTAACAACAGTTAAACTCGAACCATAACTTTATACACCATTTAAGTTTAAAGTAACTGTTAAATTAATTGTTAAAGTAAATGTTAAAGCAACTGTTAAATTAGCTGGTTAAGTAACTGTTAACGTAACAAATATCGAAATCAATTAAAAACGCGCAATTCATTACAAATGTTAATGAATAAAACAAGTGACAAAAATGTACACAGTTGCTAAGATGTACAGTACAGTTGTCATGGGACTTTTTTTACTAAAGTTCATTCCCGTAAGTCTGAGTTTGGCTAGTGGTATTAAAAAGAGTGGAGAATATTCGTTTGTTGCCGTGCATAATAGCGACCCGATAGAATGTAAAGCTTGCTTCAGTACCAGTTCCTAGAATTTCAAGTCTCAATTTCACGTTGAACAGACTTGAATATGATTCCATTGTATCTTTCTGTTTGTCCGTTGCCTTTTGATTATATGGTGTTGTTAAGCTCGTAACCACCCCTCTCTCTCTCTCTCTCTCTTAAAAATTGCTGAACTTCGCTTGATAAGAAAAAGGCCCCTAGGTCGGAGTGGACATAGCTTGGTAAATCGAAAACAGAGAAAAGATCAACCAAACAGTTAATGAATGTTTTTGAGCTTAAATCTGGGCAAGGGTATGCAAAGGGAAATCTTGAAAATTCACCTACTATAGTAAATAGATAACGATTATTTGTGTTCGTCGGTATAGAACCTTTACAATCTATTGATAATCTTTCGAAAGGAGATGTTGCTTTTATAAGGGTTCCCGAAGTAGTAGCAAATTTTGGTTTGAGTACTTAACACGATCGACAAGATGAGGTAATTTTCTTAATATCGTCTGCAGAATACGGCATATTCTTAGAACGTACCAAGTGAGCAAGACGCGTGATACCAAGAAGACAAAGCGTTTCATGAAGCTGAATTTTCAGTTCCACTGGTGATCATAGCCGCTACTCTCGAGAGTACATCGGACACTTTATTCTCAGCCCTAGGGCGATATATTATGTCGAAATGGAAGCATGACAGTTCCAAACGCCACTTCATAATTTTCTCATTTTTGATTTGAACATGAAGCTTACAGACTTTTGGTCGGTTATTAGTCAGAAAATGCCTCCATCTGCGTAGAGTGCGTATGCTTTCTATTTTATAATGGAATGACCTTTCTCAGACGCAGATAAAGTCCTTGCAAAAAATGCTACTGGACGTCCATCTTGTGATAAAGATGCTGCTATGATGTTCCGAGGCATCTGTTTCTACTGTAAATGAAATGTTAGGATCAATCGAGTTGACGGCAGCATTAGCAATATCTTGTTTGAGATTATTAAATTATGCTATAGCGGGCAAGTGAACATTTTTGCGTCTGCAATAGGGGTCGTATTTTTTTGAAAACTTAGCTATATATTTCGCATTTGAGACTACTTGAGTCTTTCGGTAACGGTAGTTCTAGTAAATGTTTCATGCGGTCAGGATCGGGTTTGATTATGACGTTGAATATGTGATAGCTTAGTAAATGTATTTCTTTTATACAAAAAACACTCTTTTCTGTATTAAGAGTAAGATTGTATTTATTGGCAATATCGAGGAAGGTAGATAACTTTTTTTCGTGATCCTCTTCATCTCTCCCACATATAGTGATGTCATCCAAATATGCTACAACACCTTTGATACGTTCTTTCTGAATAATTGAGTTAATAGCTCGCTGGAAATAAGCAACGCCATTGGTTACTCCAAACGGAATTCGACGAAATTGATAAAGATTCTCAGATGCTTCGAAGGCAGTATAAGATTTATCGTTCTCAACTATGGAGAATTTGATGATACGCACTTTTAAGGTCTATCTTGCTAAATACTCTATACTTAGCTACCTCTGCAACCACATCCTCCATAGCAGGTCGTGGAAATGCATCTAATAACGTGAAGCGATTTATAGTTGGAAGTAAATAATACTTGAGCTCGCCACGGTGACGAACTTTCTTCGATTATTCCGTCTTTAAGTAACTGTGAAACTTCTGCTTCAATAAAAGTTGAATCCTTTGATGAGTGCCTTCGAATCTTAAAGGCAATGGGTTTGCAATCAGGAGTCGCATAAGAGAATAAGTTTTGAGGTTCAATGTTAGCAGCTGATAGTGCATATACTTTGAGAATCTGCCTGGGTCCTCCAAAGTCTAGTTGTACTTGCGAATGATTTTTTTAGAATATCATGCCCTATGATAACATCTGCACATAAACCATTCAGTAACCATAAATCGGCTTGATAACTGTTTTGCAATAATTTTGTATTAAATTTACAAATTCCAATAACCTTTGATTTTAAAAATGATGTAGCCATCGTTACTTCTTCTTAAGAGGGCTTCATGTGAAGGCGGTATTGTTGAACAAGTCGGTTTTCTATGAAGCTACATGTATTTCCCGTGTCAACCAGAGCTTTTATAGCGTGTCCATTGATGAAAATAGGTACAATAGCTTCTCCTAAACCCGAAACAGCAGAAAGTATACATGACAATGTTCCAAGTTCACTTTCAGGTTGTTCTCCTTTGGTCATTGCGGATACGGTGGGTTTACTGCGATAGACTTTTGCGAAGTGGCCTTTGCCTCAGGATAGACATATTGTATTAAAGGCTGGGAATTTTTTGCAAATATGCAATTTGTTACCGCAAAAGTAGCAAGAATCTTTCGATATAGATGGCAATGCATTTAAATTGTTTGAAGGAAAGGCGTTTGATTCACTTGGGTAGGCGCGGTTGTGAACTCGTGCAAACTCTAGTGCTCTGGTTTGTTGATGCGCTTCATCAAGTTGGAGGGAACTGTTTTCTAGAAGCCTCTGTCTTGTTCATTGTGTTCAGCAGATACTGCTTTAAACCCACATTCCTTAGCCAGAAGTTTTAATGATTTTATGAATTGGTCAATTGATTCACCAGGCTGCTGTTTACGCTTGGCCAGTTGATGGCGTGCACACGTTTCATTATTTGGTTTTATAAAAATAGCATCTAATCTCGAAATAGCTGAATCATATGTCTCGGCGTCTTTCATATGATTAAAAACAGTTGCTAAAAGGTGATTTACCAGGAGTTGATACTAAGTTGAATCTGACATAGGTTCCGGTTGCTGCATTTCCCCAGTGGAGCCAGTTCACGAGGCTTTAAGGAAATTTTTTAAAGTTGTCTTCCAGTGTATCCATTGAGACGTTGTGGTAGAGTCATTGTTTGATACCGGATCGATATCAAACCTCTCAGGATGCAGATACCTTTTCATATTTTAATTTAGTTGAATAAATTGTAGTGAATGTGAGGTTCAACCCGAAAATATAAGGCTTTATTCAACTAAATTGACAGTGTAATATAAATCAATAACATATGAAATAAGTGAACATTCACAACATAATAAAGGTCGATTCACCACAGAGCTGTCTAATTTGAATGCGACAAACGACTATGATGGAAACTCTAAACTCTTAATCCAATCAAAGTATGTGTCTTAATCACACCATTAAATTTTAAAGTTCACAGTTCGGTTTCGTTAACTGTATCCCAACTCAACAAATATTTTGTGACACGTATGCAAGAGGGTAATGGGGCTAATTACTCGCAGATCCTTTATTTATCTTTTATGTCTAGTAATTTTTTTACGATAAATATTTTATTTTTAAATGTTAATTGTAAATTGTTTTCTTTACTACACCCGGACATTAAATCTATAGTATGTTCAGTGTCCTACTTCGCTAGAAGAACGGTATAGAATAACCAATAGTGTTGATTAGAGAGAGGTAGAACAATACGTGCCAGACCACTAGCGATAGAAGTGTATACATTTATCCAGTTATGGCAGACAGTCACCCGATTCACGAGAACCTCTCTCTATTTAACTCATCTCTAATTCGAAGGCTCCATGGGTTAACATATTGTATACGCTCCTGTATTAAGTGAATCTTGCGAAAACTATACCGCTCGCAAGATATAACATAGCTAAACGTAATCGTTGAAGCGGTGTAAACAGTCCTAAAGGGAATATGGCAGTACAGTGTGTCATCTAAATTAGCATAAACATTCTTACCTAGAGGAAATGCTACAAATATTACAAGAACAAATATAGCTAAACAAAAATGAGATAAGACAGTTATATTAACTATGAAGAATCTTCTTTTAATCCGTTTTTCAACAATAGGACCGGCTATATTAAAATCCCAAAATTCTTTGGTTACTGTTTCGTAGAAATAATCAACACGTTTTTTATTAAAAAATAATACATGCATTTTTATGACAGCCTGAAAAAAAATATAATGGATGATGGATTTATAATATTTTTTAATAAATTAACTTACCATAAACCTTACTGGATAAGTTGCAACCATTTCAGCAAGTTTTTTCGGTTCACTTAAAGTCTGATATGCATAAATTGTTCTACAAATAAGAATAAGAGTTTTTAAGAATCCTGCTGTGTGCCAAAAATATTTTTTGTATCCATCAAATCCATGTAAGGTTATACAATACTTCATATTTGCAAAAGGATCATCTAAAATATTTTTCATAAATTAATTATAAATATTACCTAACGTAAAACAATACAATATGTCGTAAATACAATATTTAATACATTTTTTCTAATATTAGGCTGGTGAAATAGGAACCTAAATGGAGTAAATTTTTTTTTAAGTAATACTCTTTTATATATATATATATTAATAGTTTTTTATTTTTCTTTAAATTTGCTTACAGCTCATGCGATACTCATCGTTTTTTGGATAAATAATACTCATTCTTTTTTAATAGATTATCTATCTCGGGAGTTAAATACGTAATAACTCCATGCAATGTAGTAGTAAACGAACAACTACAATTTTTTAAATTAGGTACAGGTATTTTAGTGGTTAATCATACCAGCATTGATTTTTTTAATATAATGGACATAGACGTAGAACGAAAGAACATTTTTTCAGCAACTGTTAAAGATTTTTAATATTTTCATTTAATTACGGAGAAAAATGGAGTAAAACTGTCTTCTTACTCCATATTAAGAGCCCAGTAAAACAAAGTAAGCGAATAATTATTAAATAACGTTTATTGAATTAGGTTAAACGGGATTTTGTATTAGAAGAATTTGGAGAAATACTAGAAAATTAAAATCAAGACTTTTATCTCTCAAGCTATTTACTTTACAAGTAGTAACTAGTCAAAAGAGTAATATATCAACTAGTTTTTATATTTGTTTATTCCCTTATTTGTTTTTTTTATACGAGAATATATTTAAAAAAATAATTTTTTTGTTTGGCAATCACACTTCTGCTGTCAATACACTTTTCTGACTAGATCATCACAGACGTGGCCGACTGAATAGAGAAAAAATACAACCCATCTGTCTACGATTGGCCAACTACCAAACACATTATACAAGAAGATGTTATGTTATGTTGAGAATGGGGTGTTAATACACTGCGACCTAAAAGATCTATTGTGCCCCCTTCTGTCGCCACTGCACTAAGGAAATGTCTCAATGCCTATAGCGACCCTTCCAATCCTATTTTCTCAAGGAAGTGTAGAATTTGAAGTGGCTTCAAGTTAGGTAAATCTCCCTCTTCTATTTGATATCCTCCTAGATATAGTGCGCCCTTGGATTCTGGAGTGCTACACATTCAGTAAGGATGTGAATGGAGGTTTCGTCCTCCTCCTCACAGAATCTGCACTCACTGTCCTCTACTATTCTCAGTTTACTTAGGTGTCCTTTTAGTCGGCAATGCCCGGTAAGGATCCCTGTTACAATACGTAGCCTGTTCTTGCTCAGGCAGATGCAGGCTTCCGATCTTTTCTGGTTATATTCACTCAGAAGTATCTTGGCCTGTCTCAGCCCCAAGAGATTGTTTCAATTATCGGTTCTTCTACTACCCAATTCTTTTTTAATCTCTCCTAATATTATGTTACTGCTGATACCGCAGAACGGCTCAGGTCCTACAAAGGGTGTTTGAGCCCCTTTCCTTGCAAGACTATCTGCAATCTTGTTACCCTGTACCCCGTTATGTCCCGGGACCCAAGTGAGTATACAAGAAGATAAAATCAGCTAGGTAATTTCTAGCTTTACATTATTTTAATCTTACACTGCACCTGGTACGTATATTCAGATCCTCGTTGGCTCTAGGTATATTATCAAAAAATGGAGAAAACTGAAAGGGATCTTCATATCGAAATCTGAAAGGATGGATTACACTGTTCCAAAAACATTCTTGCCAATTATCACGACATCGGTTTCCATGAAGATATTGGAAAGGTTATTCGAAAGGTACATAAGGGATGTAGTAATTACAACAACACTACTACACCCAAATCAACATGCGTACACCCCAGGCAGATCTACTGATTCAGTATTTCACATTGTTGCTGGCCGGATAGAGTATCCCTGGACAATAAAGGATCCACCTTTGGTGTTTTCATAGACATAGAAAGTGCTTTTATCAATATCACCTTCTCCAAGATAAAACACTCACTAACCAAGAGGAATGTTCTACAGAGTTGCGAAAAGATAAAGATATCCACAGAGAGGGGTACTATCACATCACATATGGAACGTGATCCAAGACGTACTCATAAGCCGCCTAAAAAATGACGTATGCAGATAATCTGGCGATCCGGCAAGCAGAGAACTTTGAGAGCAAACTCTGCGAAAGAATGCAAGTAGCTCTTAAAATTATAGTGAAATGGGAAGAGTATATTATAGTGGATTTTTTTGTTTCTTATTACATATTGTTTAGTTTTTAAATTATAACTTATTTTTTACTTTTTAATATTTATTTGAGAACTCCTATAATTCATAATTATGTGATGATACATTCGACTTTTCAGATCACTTTTGTTACATAGTCACAGAGTTGCCGTTGCAGAAGCTTATGGCTTTTTGCGAATTAGTAAAGATATTTTGATGGACTTTCAACAGAAAAGTTTTTGCTAATGCTCAGATTAATCCTGTGGATCGTACAATCTCGTATTTGTATAAAGAATGGATGTAGGTATAACGACTACATTTCATATTTATTTAAACAATATCCTATTCAAATGTGTTGCAGAAAACAAAACTATGCATGTTTCAAAAATTACAAGATAGGCAATTGTTACTTAATAAGGATGGCACGCGAATACTTTTTAGTGAAAATCCATTTTGTTACGTTATAATAACACCGCTTATTCTAAGGGCTCATAAACTGCATTTTTTTTAAGAGAAGTAGTTTTTAGACTTGAGTGACATTTTTTTATCTCCGGCAAAGCTGGTGGGGTTCCACTTGGCTGTGCAATTCATTCGAATCAAACCGAAGAAAATTAGGAATTGAGTTTTCGAAATTTAAAGTTGCTTTAAGAACATGAGGTTATTTCGGTAAAGGATTCCCAGCAGTTTTTGTAACAGATGACAGCACAGCAGAACCAACTGCTCTGAAAACAGTATTTCCTCAATCCGATCGGCTATTGTGTAGTTTCCACATATTACAAGCTGTTTGGCGGTGGCTTTGGGACCACAAACATGTAACTAAAAACGAAGATAGAAAACCGCTCATGCCACTTTTCGTAATATTCTGTGTGCTCAGGGTGAAATTGATTATAAATTGCTTCAAGAGGAAGTATGCAATGACCCAGTAGCACAAAAATGTCACAATTTTTTAACTTATTTTAACGAATTATAGGAAAGAATAGCTGAGTGATATCACTGTTTTTGTATAAACCTTCAGACAAGAGGCCATAATACGAACAATATTGTTGAATCTTAATAATAATATAATGTTTATTTACATCAATAAATTTACAATAAAAAAAAACAGTTTCAAAATACAGTGTGTCAATAAACATGTGACGACCACATAAGCGAACTTGTATGTGGCATGGATATTTTTTTTATAGAATATTAACGCCTCCTTAGATATCTTACACTCCACAAGGAAAGCCCTGTACGTGAAAGGTAAGACTCTATTTTTGGCTGGCTGATTAGTTGTTTATTTTGATTGCATGCATTATTAAATAATAAAATACATTTATTTCTTATATACTAAAAAGGAAAAAAAATGTTACGGGTTGAACTGGAAGTTGTGGATACAAACAAGAGCACATTAACAAATATATATATATATATATATATATATATATATATATATATATATATATATATATATATATATATATACATAATATACTTATTCCTAAAAAGAAATAGAAATATTTTTGTTTATGTTACAGGTTAAGCAGGAAGCTAGGGATATAAGTAATAGTTTTCAATCATTTGGTGTATATCATTCCTTGACTGTGAATAAATCCAATTTCTAACTAATTTTTTGAACAAGTATTTCGAGTTCACGTTTTTTATTTCACCAGGTAATCTGTTATAGATTTTTGGGCCGATATACCAGAAACTGCGTTGAGTATTTGATTTTTTCACCTTAGGTACGTTTGATTTATTTTTAATCGAGTATTATACTTATGTTCAATTTGTTTTAGTTCAGCTTTATTTTGAAATTGTCTGAGTAATAGACATTCACAGAACAGCTGACGGATGTCATTTATCTGAGTTTCTGCAAATAGTTCTTCAGTAGAGTAGGTAAAATGTTTTTTATAAATAATTTTTATTAAAGTCTTTTGTGTTATTTCTAGACTATGCATATGTGCTTTTAGTGCTCCACCCCAAGCAACAATTCCAAATCTGAGATGTGATTCAATTAGTGAGTAATATAATATCATCATCTGCTTAACAGAAAGAATTCGAGACAGGTATCTAAATTTATAAAGTAACATTCTGAGTTTTTTGGTAACGTAATTTATATGTACGTCCCACTTATTGTTTTGGTCTATATATACTCCCAGATACTTTATGTGAGATGTGTATGATATCTTTATTGTACTGTTATTATCCATTTTAATAATTATTTGTTTAAAACTAGGAAGACTGTAAGAATCAGAAGAAAATGGGACGAAGAAAGTTTTTTCAAAATTTACAGTTAATAATTTTTCTTGAAACCAGCTAAATATTAAGGGCAAGTCCTCTTCCACTTTATTTTGTAGTATAAAGTGATTCCGAATATTTAAAGACATAGTTCTTAAAAGATGCAAGACTTTTAACGCGGTCTCTTTGCTTGACTCTTCTTTAGAGCAATTTATAAAAAAAATAATAAATCATGCAAACTATAGACTGAAGTTACTGAAGCAGATCCTAATATTTTGTACGGGGTTTATACAGACATAAAACAATGTCCTCATAGGGCTGGAAGAAAATTTTATAAACATTTATGTGCTGTATACAATAGTGGAATACATTTATTGCACACACCAGAACTCTCGTATCAAGATCTTGTAGAATTAGCAACTTTGGCTCTGGGCAACATTGTTGACTACACTTTTTTTGAGAATATGGATACAAATATTAATGTTGAAACATAATCCATAGAAAGCTTCATATAATCTTGTGGAAAACGTTCAATCAGCCGATGAGAAATTAAAATACTAGTAAACTACAAGACATCGTCGAATCTATTGAAAAATAACATAGCGAATATCTTGAAGAATACCAATCAGAACTACAGAAATGTAAGGCAAACTTAGAAAGAACTTTTGCCGTTACCAAAAAAAGTAGTTAAAAATTTATGTTGAGGAGACTGTCCCAAATTAATAACGTGATGTGTAACGTTTCTAAATATGTATAGTTCTTGTTTTAAGCCACGCAAAACATCAACAAGAATTAAAGTTCAGCTGACATCAATTGCTCGTCGAAGTGATAATTTAAAAGCAGGTGTAAGAATTATCCAAGCAGGAAGAC